CGATTTGCCTTCTCGTGAGCAAGCGATCGCCTCTGTCCTGAGAGAAAAAGCAGGCTCGGTGGAGGCAGGTGCTTTGTGCACGGCCACAAGTCGTTCCGGTGAAACAGGCCGCAAGCCTCCTTCCTGCCGCTCTGCAGCTTCCCTCTCGGCGGAGCAGAAGGCGGCGCTCCAGCTGGCTGGGTTTCTCTGTGCTCCTGGTTTCTGCGAGGGGTTGCAGTGCTGGACCGGGAGAGCCGGGTTCTGGTCCCTACTTGGCCATGAAGCGCAGTGGGTGATGCTGGGGCAGTCACAGGCTCTTGGTCCAACCTACCTCACAGGGTTGTTGCTGTGGTGAGAATAAAAATGGAGCCACGTAAGCTTACAGGAGGAAAGGCGGCAGGTTGGAAGTGCAATCTAAGGACAAGAGAAGGTAGAGACGCAAGTGGCAGGAAACGGGACCGTCGCAAAGGGAAGATGACGCTGGGCTCGCGGCAGCGATCTGTGCTGTGGCTCCTTCCCCTGGGAGCTGTGTGTGGGGGCCCTTGCAAAGTGCTGGAAAGCCCCCCGGCACCCAACGAGCGGGGGGGGGGCTGCTCACCGCTGCGCAGGATGGCGCCCGCAGCACCGCCCTGGGAACGGAGTGTGGCAGCCAGAGACGCCTGCAGGGTGCCAGCCCGATTTGGAAGCCCCTCCAACTGATGGAGCAAGCAAGGGACCGCCGTTTTGCTCAAGGTGGCCAGCTCAGGCGCGGGCTTTGGGGCTGTGGAGCCCCCTGCACGCGGGACCGGCACAGGGACCCGTGCCCAGTCACCGTGTGCGCCACCGCAGTTCCTGGGATTTCCCGGGATGCCTCCTGCCCAAGGAGGGTCTCCGAAGCAAAACTCTGCAGCACCTGCCACTCTCTCCTCCGGGCGCGGAAACTCCTGTTGAGTCACGAGTGCAGCCGGCCGCCCGCTTGCCCGCTTGCAAAACGCACCGCACCCCCAGGCCGCTTCCATTTTCATCTGCAGAAAGTGCTGGAGAGAGCTGCAGCTCCCCCTGCCGCCACCGCTCTGACCCACCGCGGCCTGAGGGAGCAGCTTCCCGGAGCTGACCTTTGGCCGATCAAGCCCCGTCTTTTCGCCTTCCCGGCGGGCTACGGAGGCCGTGCACGTGTGCCCGCACCATGGCCCCATCCTCCTCGCAGCAGCCCAGCACAGCTCCTTGCGCATCCGACCGACCCCGAGGCGCACGCGGGGCCGTGTGGGGGAGCAGGGCAGCGGCTCCCCACGGCCTCGCTGGGCCACGCCAGCGGGTGGGCCCTCCTGCGGGCCCTTGTCACGCTGCAGCCGTCTCCCTCCGGCACGGGCCAAGAGGCGCACCCAGCCCGGCCTCCCGCCAGCCGGCCGTGAGCTGCCTTCGCATTTCTGCTTCCGTTGGTGGCGTTGCTTCCAGGATCCTTTTGCAAACTGATTATGAATCTGTTTAAAACAAAGAGCTGCATCTACAGTGGTACCTCTGCTCACAAACACCAGATCACAATCAAATCAGGTTGCAAACAGAAATTTCATAAACATTTTGCTGCAGATCGCGCACTCTGCATCGGGTGCCAATCGCGAGTGCGCCCACCTTCCCTGCACGGGCGCGATTGCGGTCGTGCTGGTGGTGGTGGTGGGGGGGGGAGATGGCCAGGATCGCACCTGTGTTCCCTGCCCAAGCATGCCCATGCCTGCGCCTGCCTCCCCACCAGCATGCCTGCGATCGCGCCCACCTCCCCCCACCCCCCTGCATGATCGCTGGGGGCGGGGGAGATGGCGGTGATCTTTGTTGTTCTTTGTCACTTTGCTTCAAATTTTTGTGAGTAAAAAAAATAGTTGCAGAACGGATTATCCTTATTTACATTGCCCCCAGGGGGAAATTTGACTCGACTCACAACCATTTTGGGTCGTGACCAGAGTCCTTGAACGGGTCAAGTTTGTGAGCCGAAGTGCCACTGTACTTCCTCAGCGAGCAAGCAAGCAAGCAAGCAAGCAAGCAAGCAAGCAAGCAAGCAGGCCAGCGCGGAGGTGCCCTGAGGCCGTACCGGCCCGGCCCGGCCCAGCCCTGATCCTGGAGCAAAGGCCCTCTTGGACGGCAGCCTGGACATCCCTGCCCCAGCGGGGCCAGAGGGCTACCGCTGTGTCTAGGACTGGCCATCTCTGCCGGGCAGAAGCAAGCCAAGCATGTATGTAGCAAGGAATAGCTTACTCTGGAATAAACTTGCTCTTTCCCCGCTTAGGCAAATAAAGTGGTTAAGCCTTTGTGAACTCAGGGAGTAGCTCCCACCACCAACTTCCTTAATGTTATGATAGTTTTGTCATGTTAAGGCTTTTTAACAATTCAAATCGGTTGTTTTTTGATGGTCTTTTGTGTCTTTTTCTAAGGAAATCGAGATTTTAAAGTTCAAGTCTGCTAAGACGACTTCTCTTGTTTTTATGAGCTATGGCTTTTGCACGCCGTTTCACCCTGTGGAAACTCAAGATTACTGCATTCTTTTCCTCTTTTGTTTTCATGAACAATTTCACAGTGGGAGCCCCCGCCCCTTTCCCCCCAGAGCTCTGCGTCTCCGGGACTGGCTTGGTTTGTTTGCTGTTTTCAAGCCATGGAGTGGTCTGGGTTTTCCTTCTGTGTGTGAGCACATGTGTGTGTGCACGCGCCCGCGTGTGCGTGTGTGAACAATGAGGTTAGGGAGAGAAGGAAAACGAGAGGAGGGGGAGGAAAGTGAATGGAAAAGAACATTCCGTGAAGGAATCTTTGTCGTCTCCTTGTTCATTCACGGTTTGGCCATGTGGTTTCCATCCTCCGCAAATTAGGTACCAGCAATTTGCCTAATTGCCTGCTTTGGCAAAACCTGCAAAGGAGATGGTGTGGAGGGGGTCTGAAGGAGTGTCCTTAGCTGTCATTTGGCTTAAGAGTGTTGGGAAAATTTGGATAAATCCTGTTTGAAAGGCATTACTCCTGTGTGCCTTTGCATTGTGGGATCAAATCCTGTCTTCCTTCTCAAAACCAAGCTGTCACTGTTTAAAATGGCATTCCCCCCCCCCCCCCCCCGCCGCTCCTTTCTCTCACCTTTAGCTGTAGGCTACAGTAGGCCATTTTAGCCCAAATATACATTGTGAATAGTCATTGCTGGAATTCAGTTTACAATCACCTTTTGATAGCCCAGAGGGCTTCATGTGCCCTGATCATGCAGAATGTTTAGAGTCGAGATGGGGGTCTGAGCTTATCATGAAGTTTCTAGTAGCTTGAATTTGCATGTCTGAGCAGACCTGGAGATGGGTTCAAGTTACTCAACTAAAGTGTCAATACAGGCAATTAGAAATATTTTAATCTCATTGTTACAGTGTGATTGACTAACATTTCTTTATCTGTTCTGTATGTGACGACCTCAGAACTTAATCTCTGCATTCTGTCATCAATTGCCTTGTACCTGTGTACCTATAAATGCCCTGTAATGGTATTGAAGCTTTGCAGCAGAGTTCACCTCTGCCTGCCCCGCATTATCATGAGTACCGTGGGAACCTTGGGGGTAAAACAATAAAGCCTCAGATGGTCTGGACGCTTGGTCTTTCCCATGAACCCAAGTTTTATTCCCTCTTCTCAAATTGAGATTCCGGGATTCTGACAAGATAGACCAGCGAACGCCGAGACCTGAGAGTTAATGGATGGGGCTTGCGCCACTGAAAAGTGAGCCCGCACCTGAATAAGGAGGGCATCATCAAATGTTTGATGCCACGCACGAGAAGAGAGGACCGTCAGAATGCCTCAGTACCTCTCTGCTAAACTTGATTGTGGTTTGGAGCACAAAAAAAGACTCAAGGTTTGGAAATGATAAAAAGGAACATCCATCTGCTCTGGGCCTGAGTCCAACGTCTTCTCCCTTCTTCTAGGTGGGATTTGTACTTTTGGGATTTTTTGGTCTGGTTCGTTTTGTTTTGATAAATCCATGCTGGCTTCTATTAATCACGGCATTCACTTCAAGATGCTTGCAGATGGATTTTTTATGTCAACAATAGCTGAAAAAACATAAACAATAGCAACAGCTGAGGTTTATCTAACCACAGTTTTAAAATAGTAATAAAAAATGTCAAGGCTGTCACAGCAAGAAAATATGTTGAGAAGAACACCAAATAAAATTCTGAATAAAATGCCAGGGGCACGAGACCTCAGCAACTGAAAGTCTGAAACAGAGAAAGAACCCTTCAGTCATTTGACCCACACAAGGGAAAACAAATCAGACAAATTAGTGTTGCTGACACTACAAAAAGGAGTAGCTTCAGCGAAAACAAAAATAGGCTGTGGAGCTCCTTGAGCAGCCTGCCCTGCCCGGGAAGGCTGAGCCGGCAGCAAGGAGCCAGTCTCCAGGGGGATGCTCCAGGCGGGAGCAGCTTTCTGGAGCCCTGCCCCTCTTAGGAGCTGGATCTGGGGAGCATTCAGCAGGGCCTGGGAGGCTGCAGAAGCTTTGCAAAGCTGAAAGGCCCGAAAATGCCTCGAAGTGAGCTAGCTACACAAGGGGCTCCGGCTGCCCGGTGGGTGCCATCCATGCATGTTGTGTTGTGCCACCAAGTTTTGGTTTGAAGAATGCCGCCACCACGGATGCAGCCTGAGAGGACTGAAGAGAAGCGCGAGGAAGCGGCAGCAGCGACCAGAAAGCCGCAGTCCAGGTCCGATAAAGGCCCTGTCTGCTTCACCGACACCATGCACATTTCTTGTTGTACAGTGTAACAGTGAACACCAACGACACCAGCGTTCATCTGTTAAGCACTCAGCATTTATTTTTGTTCTCCGCATGCTCCACAGCACCCTTGGCCGACACTGTGCCGCAACCGTGTTGAAGCTGTTTGCTCACTCCATCGCACTGCAGGTCGAGGTGCGTTACGCTGAGACTATTCCACGCGAGCCGGCTGGCGACGAGTGCTGAGCGCCCTTTTCGGCTGGGACGGGAGCGCAGAGCCAGCCAGAAGAGCCTCAGCGGCAGCGGCAGCTGCGCCTGAATCGGTCACAGGCAGCGGTTTGACGCCCGGCCTACATGAGAAACCTGGAAAGGTCGTCCTTAATTTCAGCTTCATCCCAGGGCCCGTGGATGTTGTCCTTGAAGAGCTGCAGCCGGATGAGGCAGTAGGGGCACAGGCAGGAGACGGACACCAGGAGGAGGGCGAAGAGGACCGTGCCGACGCTGGAGATGGTCAGCAGGCCCAGCAAGGCGGCCACGGCAAACAGCAGGGTGACGGCCACGTAGCAGCGGGGCGTCCGGGCCTGGAGCTTCTTCTGCAGCATGGGCCACAGGGCGAAGATCTGGATGGCGAAGGTCACCATGACGAAGGCGTGCAGTGAGCGGGGCAGCCGCGAGGCCAGGCAGACCGAGGCGAAGATGGCCATGTTGAGGGAGAGCGTGCTGGAGACGATGGCGGCGTTGGCCCCGTAGTCGTAGAAGATCAAGTGGCCGAGCAGCATGAGTGCGGACATTGCGTAGATCGTGTCCGTGCTGATGGACTCCGTCAGGGTCTTCAGCACGGGGGAGAAGCCGTAGGTGAAGGCCACGAACACCACGGCGCTCCGCAGGTCGGCCCAGCGCGTCCGGCCGCTCTGCCTGCGGCCAGCGCCCGAGTCCACGGCGTCGAACAGCACGTAGCCGACCAGCGAGGCGAGCAGCCCCGTGCCGAACAGCCACTGCGGCGCCAGCAGCCCCACGTCCATGTACCGCCAGACGACGCCGAAGACGCAGACGCTGCACAGCTGCTGCACCACCAGACCGGCCTCGAACACCACCGCCCAGTACCGGTACCGGCGCGCGCGCACGTTCTTGCGCAGCTCCTCCAGGAAGCTCCGGTCCACGTAGTTGTCCGGGAACGGCTGCCGCTTGTACAGCGCCCTCTGCCAGCGCGGCCGCGGCCCGCACAGCATGCTCCCGCCGGGGCCGCCGCCTCGGCTCTCCGGGAACGCGCGGCGCGCCCCCGCCCC